AATCTTTAAAGCTATAATTTTATCTCCAATCCTATTAATTTTTATAACATTATCCTTTAAACTCTTATCTATAATAACACCTGCACCATTTCTAATACGACTCCTACCCGAATACCAAAGTTTAAATCCTAAACTATCAATTTCCTTAGCCTTCTCTCCAACCCATTTAGTTTCCTGAATGCACAAAATATTTAACTTCCTATAAATCATAATATCTATTAATTCCATTAATTTTCTTGTAAGGGATCCTATATTCCAAGTTCCTATCCTAATTTTAGTTTCATGGACTAGCTTCTTTGCCCACATCCGTCCTTGATGTGGGAACCCTTGCCTATTTAACACTGCACCCGGGCGTCGGTGCAGCGGCCCATACACACTTGTCACTGTATTCAGGCCATACAGCGCGTCGCTTTCAGGGGACACCCTAGCAATTTTTTGTAATTTTATTATTTAGCATCCTTTGCAACCCTTGAGGGCACCCTTCATTAAGAACTTGTTGGACTAAGTGATGCAAGACTAAGAGAAATAAGTCATGCAAATAGATATTTAAGCTAAGAGAACATCAAAGACATCAACATAAACTTCATAAACATTAAAAATAATAAGAAAATTTGAACTATTAAATCATGTGATAGTAAGAAACTAACATGCAAAGTCTAAACAATAACAAAGGAGAATTAGTTTAGACTATCTTATATGGATTGGCACAAGTCCAACATTTAATTAAGGGACTGGTCACTAGAGTTTATATTTGCTCAAATTTAAGTAGAACTTGGCGGATTAATCAACGCATATGAGATAATGCTATTATAGATGAAATGAGAAGACTAATATTTAGTTAGATAAAGACAATGGGAGGGTTGATAATTAGCTCATGAATGGGAGGAATGGAGTCCTTGATGAAGTGTCGGTTAGTTCTTCCTTGGCTTGCCCTTGAAATCCTTGCTCTTTGTTGAATTAATGTCCTTGTTGCATTAGTAGAAGCTAAGTTTCCTCGGAGAGGTAGAATAGTTAGGAGAGAAAATAAAGTTTCAGCTATATGAGGATTTGGAAGTGGATCACAATTTTGGGGTATGGAGGGGTGAACTAGGCCGGCTGCATGGGGAGGAGGGGAGTATGATTTGACTAATTTTAATGGCTTGGAAAGGGAGAAATCAGCTTGGGAAGTAAAGAGGTGAGGGCTTGCTACTTGGAAAAGAGAAAGGGTTGATGTGATTTTCTTGGGAAGGGAATTAGTTGGCTTGGGAGGTTAAGAGGTGGGGCTAGTTGCTTGGGGAAGAGAGAGGATTAATGTGGCTTTCTTGGAAATGAAGAAGTAAAAGTGATTGTGGATCTCCAAATGTCACAATTAATTGAGATAAATGCTCAATTAATGTGAATTAATTACATAATTTGGGAAGCCTAAGGGTTGAGGGTGTTGGGGAGAAGGTGGAGGTGGATGAGAGGAAGGGAGGGAGGTGGTTGTTGGTTGAGGGCAACAGTTTGTTGCAGTTATGGTGTTGTTTGGGTGGCTAGAGAAGGAGAAAAAATAATTATAGAGGGAAGATGATACCAACCAAGAGCTCACGCGCTATTGGGTATTCTGTCTTTCTCAAAAGGAATTCACACACAAATTCAACTCACTAAGAAAATAGAAAGCATATAACCAGAAATTTATATCAAAATATTGATTATCCATACAAGAGAGAACAATAGGCCATATATATAGGCAGCAAAAACATGAAAGGACAAAAGACAAGAAGGCCCTTGACTAAACAACACAAAAGCTTCCTCAAGTGAGGATAAAACTAAAATAAAATAAATAACACCACATAAATCTCCTACAACACATGAAAACTAAAAATATAAAGCATGCGTGTATTGTTTACCTGATTTAAGTTTTCAAAAATTTTTTAGTATTGACTTCTCATGTAGAAACTTCCATTCTCTCAAACAAAATTTTTAATACTACCTTTTAAAAAAGACACAATGGAGAAAAATGATTCATGTAGCCGACCCCACGTAGTGGGATAAAAGCTTGTTGTTGTTGTTGTTGTTGTTTATTGTTTACCTGATTGCGCTACAAAAATGCATAATATTTTCTAGGTTTCTTCTTTTGTTTTGTTTGGGGGTGACCTGGGCATGTTGACGTAGTAAACTCTTAAGATAAAACTAATTTTTCTACCCATTAAAATGTAAGCAAACTAAAATCAACTTTAGGCTCCATGATTTTCAAATATAAGAAAAGTTGCACAGCTCCCTTTAAGGAGTCAAATTTTTTAAAATTTAAAATGATCATGCATAGCCTAGTGTCATATATATAAAAGTTTTCATTTAAGGATCAGATAAAAAATATGCATTTGTGAATTAGCATTTTTACATACCCACATGGTCAGACATCTTGGCCTAAAAGCCAAATTATAAGTCATACTTTATAAATAAAACAATCTCTCTACTGTTCATATGTATTGAGAGCGGATATCATGTTTTTATAAGCGACTAGGTGAGTTAGTTGGTAGTCATTTCTAGGCAGGGTAATAAATCCAGAAGTCGGACTGAATATGCTTCATATGATGTGTAATTTGTACTTAGGTTTAAAGTACCAACTCTCAATAGTCCTCACCTTAGTCCTAGGATTCGAGTTAGTGGTCGATTTTAATCACCTCATAAGCCATCATCTTCCGAGCATTTTCTCCACACGTGTTGTTAATCTAAATTAAAATTATCAACTTAAACAAAAATTAGATTCTAAAATGTAAAGCCTAACATAATATAGTTTTGAATATCTCTGAGTTTTTCCTCATAATCAAGTACTCCTCTTCTTCCTCCTTTTGGCTTTTATTCCAAGAACTCCAATCAAAGTTGATTTCCCTCTTCCTTTGAAATTCCTAAAGACAAAAAATATTTAACAAAAATTTCATGGATTTTAAAATGGAAAGCATTTTGCCGATATTTTGATGATTTTAAAAGAAACAAAATCACTAGTTTAATCAAAATTTCTCTCAAATGACAAACATTTGAGATATAATTAACCATAGGAGCTCTCCCCTGTGGGGCATATGTACCTCAAAATAAAATAAACTCCATTAAACCAAATATTGAATGGGAGAAATCTCTTTTTAAAACTCAAATTGTAAATTTTGTTATCGAGTCTATAAGGAAATGGTATTATTGTACTTTGGGATAATATATCATTTTCTATGTCGTGTTCGATCATAAAATATGCAATTCGTTGATAACAAAATTTCTCCAACACTTTTTTTCAACTCTGACTTGACTTTACCGCATCATTTTTCTTTTGGGAGTGGCTTTACTCTAAAACTTGCCAAAGAAAGATTATATATATATATAATATCTATTTTTTAGTGTATTGATGCATAACGGATGGGGTGGGGGGGGAATTTGAAAATTGAATTTAAAATTAAATGAGAAAAAAGGGGGTGGTTAATTAAATCTCATAATTGGATATCCCATTAAGGAATTAAATAACTAAAGGAGGGGAGGGGCCGGCGGTGTTAAGAGGGACTTGGGAGTTTATGGAGAGAGATTTAAATGCTTACCTAGTGGGGAACCTTAAATTGGGGAGGAATATTTAAATCAAATCCTATTTGAATTTGAAATAGGTTTGATTTGAATACTTACCTAAAATAAGATAACTAAATTAGGGAAATGATTTGAAATTTAAATACATTTGAATTTAAATTCAAATGCTTCTCATATTAAAACACATCCACAATAGGAAAGAAGGCTATCAAGCATGATTGACTTCAATCAAGAGGAAAAGGGGAAGGGGTGGCAGGTAGAGAGAGAAGGTTTGATTTGAATACTTCTCATCCCATTATTTACTACTATGCAACCATTCCCTTCCTCAGCCCAACTGCACCAAATTCCAATTTTCATTTGGTGGTATTCTCTTGGGCTAATGTGTTTCAACATTATGCACCTCTCTTAAAGGGGAAAAGCTTTATACGTCACCCCATTTTCCCTCCTCACCGGCACTTTTTTGACAATGTAAAACCATCCCTCTACCCTGATCCCCTCCTCTTCATCACTCCCAAAATACCCTGTCAGGCCTAACATTTCTTCTGAACCAACCCACTTAAAGTTTAATTTACTCTAACTGTTTGCTAGTGCAATAGATTGTTTTTTATGGTTGTTTCAGGAATTCATCTATGATCATGTGGTGTACAGTGTATTCTTTAAATCTTGAATTTTAAGGACTATTTTCTTGAGTTAAATTTAGCAGTAGTTCATTTTACTCATTATTAATGTCATCTGCTTTCTTATAGAATGACATTCTTCTAATTATGCGATGTTCTTTTATAAACAAACATGTATGCATGCTTGAATTTGCTAGTTCATGTCTCTCCCTAAGATGCTACCTGTTTGGTATGGCAGAGACTACGGATTTACCAGCATAAGTGTGAATCTGTTGAAACTGTTGTGCATCCCTACACATCATGCGAGTATGCTTGGGATGAACCTTGCTATCCTCATCGTATCATTGTTGAGGTTTACCCTTTTCCATTTCCCTTAAGTTCTGCCCTTTTATTATGTATATTAACATTTACGGATGTAGGTACCTGGTGAAAGAATTGTGGGTACATACAATCTTGATGATGTACAAGAGTATGCCCCTGTGTGCTTTTCTTCAACATCTGAGGTACTCAATCTTAATGAACCAAGTGATCTGCAATATGTTAATAATGTCTAACATTTTGATGCATTGATGTTTCTTATATATTCATCTGGCCGGTAATTTACATATTTGACTCGTGTGAAACCCTTTTTTGGAATAGTAAAATGTTATAATTTATGTATCAATCATGTTTATTAGTATCATCCATATTTCCAATTGCAAATATTTGGATTACAATTATTTTCGAGATTATAGCTGGGTGGTTGTTATTTTTTAGAATAACACATCATTTTCATTCGAGGAAGGTCAAATTAATCCTTGGAATGTTTGTATGGGGGTCATGTTAGTCCTAAACTATAAATGTGTTTAATTTAGTTTATTGATATCTCAAATATAATTCAAAATGATTTATCTGCTAGAATATTTTGGATCAGATTTACGAAGTTGAGGGACTATTATGGATCTAATTTGAGGAGTCAAGGGATTCAGTTGGACAAATAAAAATAATCTTAGATTAAAATGATCCCTCATAAATAGTTCAATGATCGTTGTTGACATTGTTCTTTGTTTATTCTTGATACCTTTTCTTTGATTTCTTTTGTAAATGTCAATACTTCTTCGAAATTTTAGATGACAAGCTAAGATAGGAGACTCAGAAAATCTGAATTAAACACCATTAAATGATGATTATTCCCCTTTGGGGCATTCAACATTAGTAACTAAATTTGATTATCTGAAATTATTGGTAATAAAAGTTTAGCATCTAGAGCATATTTAAGGATGATATTTATTTTTTGAACTTCATTTATTGGCATGATCACACTCTGTGAAGCCGTATTTGAGTACTATTTCTTACATTTTCCGGACATTTGATTCTGAACGCCTCACTTATGCTCCCTTGACCTCTTAAATTTCATTTGCAGAAGCCGGACAGAAGATTTTCTGTCTCAGTACATGCAGAAGGAGCAACAAAGGTTTGTTTTTGTATCCTTTTATGCATAGATTGTGGTAGGGTATCCCGTCAATGATTGTTTTTTTTCATTGCAGGTGCTCAGTATTATTGACTCGAGTTATCACATCATAAGAGACATCAAAGGAAGTAATTTTCTTGGATTCAAGGAGAAAAGAAAAGCTGATAAGAGACTGTATCAAGAATCTCATTTCACTGAAGTGATAAAATTTCACTTGTCTTTTGTTGGAATCTCTCTGATGAGTTCAGCCCCCCAGGTGAAAATGCTGAGATTAACATTTTGAGATTGCATAAATCATGTAATAAATTTCATAATTTTTTTTTAAATACTTTCAGGAATTGATATTTGCTTGTGCTAGGGAGACAACAGTTGTTCTGATGCAGAGTTCAGAACAGCAGAAGATTTTGTCTCAAATTTTATCACTTCAGATCGATAATCAGCTGTCTGATACCATATACCCTATAATAGTTTATTTTGATAATGATTACAGAGGAAGATCTTTAAACCATTCAAAAAATAAGGAAAACTGGTTGCAGGTTCAGCTTGACAGTACGAGTTCATCTGTTACATGTGAACCCGTATTTTATTTTTCTGCAGCCAAATGGAGGAAATCAGATGTATCGTTGGTTTCATTTGAATATATAACCTTCAGGTAGCTTCTAGTTTTGAAGTCCAGATCATTTATACTGGCGAGCTTTACAGGTTCTTAATAGTCCTAATTTTGTTTAATTATTTTGTAGATTGGCTTCTATGTGCATCGAGCTTGAAGAACAAATTCTCTTATGCTTATTTGATTTTTTTCGAACTGTAAATTCAAGATTGCAGAGAACATCACAAAAGAATTTTGATCAGCGAATTCTAGGTTATTGTAGTGATGCAACACATAAATTTGCAAGGGGTCACAGTTATTTGTGTGGACAATATGATATTTTGAGGACATCTGAAGTCATTGAGACTGATGCTAGCGATTTGTTACCTGATGTAGCCCCAATGGGAGCTCCATGGCAACAAATTTATGTATTAGCTAGAAGACAAAAAAAGATATATGTTGAAAATTTTGAATTGGCACCCATCAAGCTTTCCCTTAGGTATATGCTTTGCAGACATAATTTCTGGAAGCTTTATTAAGTTTAAGTTATTTATCATGTCTTTTTTTTGACAAGCTTTTCAAGCACTCCGTTGATGATCCGAGCTGAAGTCTTTGCTGAAGTTGAAAATCTTACTCGTATTAGTAGTACTGCATTTCAGGTGAGAATAATTTACTATGTTGTAAGTTAGCGATTTCTTCCTTCAATTTTTACAATTTTCTTCGAAACACCTTGACTTCAAGTCCACATTGTTGTAGCTTAGAATCTAATGTTCATTAGAGCAAATCTAGGATCAGATGCATGAAGAAACATATGCAAAAGATCAAAATTCACAATTTTCCGGCTTTTAATTTATGCAAAAATTAGTTGCTTTTGCTGTAAAATAGAAAACTCAATTTATTCATTCCAAACGATAATAAAACTCCACGTAAAAATTTAGAATGAATATGAAATAATGCAGCGAATGAAATTTACATCACAGAAACTAAAATCGTTATGTAATGAATTTGACAAAAGTCTTCTCGTGCACACAAATCAATTACTACACAATTTAGAAGCAAGCACAATGATATAAAAAATCAATTGAAACATTCAAACCTCATGTTGGTACAAGGAGAATCATGCCTGGAAGATTGTCTTCAGGACATGCAAAATATTTGAAGAATCTATATTCAATAGCACAAACAAATTTGAATTTTATTAAACAATGAACTAAATTTTACATAGGAATCTCTTATGTATAATTAAAAAAAAAACAACAACAACATCAACATCAAGCCTTTATCCCACTACATGGGTTGGCTACATGAATCATTTTTTTTTCCATTATGTCCTGTTAAGGGTCAAATTCTCATTTCTCATTTAAATCTAATAAATAAATGTCATTTCTAATATTTTCTAACCAAGTTTTTTTATGTCTACCTTTTCTTTTCTTAACATAAGTTAAATCTAATACATCCACTCTCCTAACCGGGTCATCAGAAGGCCGCCATTTTATGTGACCAAACCATCTAAGTCGACTCTCTCTAATCTTATCTTCCACCTGAGTTACTCCAACCTTTTCACTTATATGCTCGTTTCTTATATTGTCTTTAAGAGTAAATTCACTCATCCCCCTATGCATCCTCATCTCTACGAAACTTAACTTAATATTATGATTCTCTTTTAATGGTCAACATTCTGCAACATAAAGCATTGCAGGTTTCGCCACCATTTTAGACCTTTTTAGCACACAACAAGTTTGATGCATTCCTCCACTTCAACAATCCAACTTGAATTCTACTACTAATATCCCCAACTACATCTATTACTACTAAAATTACACTCCATATATTTTGTTTTAGATCTACTCAAACAAAAACCTTTAGACTCTAAGGTGATCTTTATAATTCAAGTTTACCTTCAACACCCTCTCTAATCTTATCAACAAGAAGAATATCATCAGCAAAAAGCATACACTAGGGTACAACCTCTTGCAAATGTCTAGTGAGAACATCCATGACTAAAGCAAAAAGATATGGGCTTAAGGTTGATCCTTGATGTAACCCAACTGAAATAGGAAAATACTTGGTCAGACCATCTTGTGTTTGAATACAAGTAATATCTCCTGCATACATGTCCTTAATTACTTGAATATAAGCATTATTAACCCTTTTCTTTTCTAGAACTCTCCATAGCACTTCTCTTGGAACTTAATCATATGCTTTCTCTAAATCAATAAATATCATATGTAAATCCTCCTTGTTCTCTCTATACTTCTTCATCAAACCTCTCTATAAATGTATAGCTTCCATAGTAGACCTACCCGGCATAAATCCAAATTGATTTTGAGAAACATTAGTTTCACATCAGAACCTATGCTCCATAACTCTCCCATAGTTTTAAAGCATGACGCATTAACTTAATCTTTCTATAATTCACACAATCTTATGCATAACCTTTATTCTTAAAAATAGAAATCGACAGGCTCTTTCTCCACTCATATGGCATCTTTTTTAGTCTTCTTTCATCTCCTAAGCATTTCCACGCTCTATTGGAATATCATCATGTCCAACAGTTTTTTCACATTTCATTTTTTTTAAAGCCTCTATAACTTCGGTTTTACTAATACGATAATAAAAATAAAAAAAATTATTTTCATTTAGGGTGCTAAGGTCAGTAAAATCAATCGTATTCTCACAATCTTCAATAAATTAAAAAAACAAAACAAAACAATGAAACAAAAAATAGTAACCTTTCAAAATCCTACAAGATGGGGCTTAGTACTGCAACTTTCAATTCAACGCATTTGAATTCTAGCTTGAATAAGTTCTTAAACAATACAGTAAATTTTTTATTTTAGAATCTCGTTCAAGCTGTACCATGCATTTTCTGGAAATTACTATAATGCAATACTCACGAAATAAAACAAAAGAACTCATCCAAGCTTTATAATGAAACTCATTAGCAATAACGACTATGCCAAAAGGAGAAGTCACAAAAGGAAACCGCCAGCTGACCAATTCTACACTATCAAAATCGGGTGAATTAGGATGTAGTGAAGCCAAGCACATCTATAATACTACATGCAAATCAAATTGTGAAGAAAGGCCAAAGATTGTTGCAGTTAATTGCTGAAAGGGGCAAACCAATAGAGTCTCTCGAGGAAGGAATCCAAATGAGTGGAAGTGGAGTGGTTTCTGCAATAGTAACAAGTTAAAATTCAGTGGGAAGATCAATCAACTTCTAAATCAATAGATGGACAAAACAAAGAACAAATTATGTTTTGAAATAGAGATTTGGAAACAATAGAACTAGGAAATTAGCATCAATGCACATGAGCTCTAGAAAATCTCCATCTAGCTCTGCTCAATATACGTGATGCAGAACTAAGTATGAGATGATTTTAGTTCATTTAGATTTTGCACAACTTGTGATTAGAATAATCATATAACAAAACTAATAGCACTTTAAAATGATGAATCAAAACAAATAGGGGTCACACCCGCTTAAGCCAAATTACATAGCAAGAGATTTGAACCTTTTCCAAATAAATCAAGAAAATAACACAATGACAAGTAGTAGTTTCAAAGAAATCCCTAGTCTAACAATAAGAATTAGAAAGCATAAAGGTGCACTCAAACCCTACGTTTACTAAGCTTTAGCATGAGCAGTAAAGAGTTGTCCGTCGTGACTGGAATCAAAATCAAGAGAAGTTAGACTTAAGAAATATAATGAAAGGAGAAAGAGAACCTTTCGTCACGGGGTGGTGGAGATCCGCCACTCGACGCCTTCGAAGTGCTCGTCAATTGCTTCCACTAAGGTGTCCAGGATATGCTCCAAGTAGTCCTCGACGGTGTGATCAATCCTAGGATTCACGTCGAAGAAAGTTGAGCATAGGATATCGGTGAAACCGTCCTCGTCCCAAATTAAGCCATATTCAGTCTCCGAATCCGCCATTCATGGGTGGTGAAAGACAAGATCTCCTTAGTATTTGATACTCCTCTTGAGTAGTAGCAAAGAGAAAGGATTTTCTCCAACAAGTGGAGGGGGGATAATTCCTAAGTCCCCTTTTCAAAAATCTGGAAATAGTTTCAGAATTTGGAGCCGAAATCCGAGAGAAATTTCAGATTTCTATGCTTAGGAGGTAGGGGAGTTGGAAGGAGAAACTAAGGCATCAATTTACTTGGGATATTAAAGAGGGAGAGATGAGATTTGAGAGAGAGAGGCGGTTAGGGAGAAGGGAGGCCGGCGGTAATAAGGGGGATAGGGATGGGGATTTATTTCCTAATTCCAATATTTGGTTTAGGAAATAATTTAATAATTTGAGGCTCTTAGGAAAATTCGGCCAACATAGATCAAGGGGATTTGAAATAGTTTCCTAAAGCAAAGGTGTTGATTTAGGAAATAATTCCTAATTCAAGCAAGGGGGGGGGGGGGGCGGCGGCGGGATTAAGGGGGGGGGTGCGGCGGCGGTATTAAGGAGAGGGGGAGTTAGTGGGAGGAATTGAGAGCTTCCTAATTGGGTTTAGTAAAGAGGGAAAGTTTAAATTAAACCCAATTCAAATAGATTTAATTTAGGAACTTTCCTAAAATAGGTTTGGAATTTTAGGAAAGATTTTAAATTGCAAATTGAACAATTTTGAATTCAAAAATCTGTCCCAAAATATTCAATCCCGATTAGGCAATGGAACTTAATGGGAAAGGGGGAGTGGTAGCCGGCGGCTAGATGGCTGGAGCCGGTGGTATGGGGACTCGGGTTGGGGGTTTTGGCCGTGGGGTTAGGAGGTAGGGGAAAGGGATTCAGGTGTGGTGGAATCCGGCGGCTAAGTGAGAGTGGAAAGGGGAAGGAAGAAACAAAAGGAAGAAAAGAAAACGAGAAAAATGAAAGAAACCACGAACCCAACTTATCTAGGTTGGTGGGTGTTGCACAAACCTCCCTCTCCTAGGGATCTCTCTCCATTAGAACTCTCAAGCTCTCTCAAACTCATCCAAGCAGAAATATTCATAAGCAATCATTCATTAACCTCATACGATGAGATAAGGGGCTATAAATAGCCAAGTACAAGGACTCAAGAAAATAAAAGACAAACTTGCCCTTTGGGCTTACAAACGACAATCCCCACTAAAAGGGTACAACTGGAAACATAGTAAAAACAAATGCATGACACAATAAAATAGAAAAATACATGAATAGAAAAATAACATAAATACTCAGAAATATAAGGACTCGATCGTGGCCGTCACAATCCGTAGATCGACGGCCACGCCTCTAATAAACCTTTCATGAGCTGATGTCCCCATCAATACGATTTATTCTTGTTTAATTTTTTAGAAGATAGATTTGATATCAAATAAAAAACTCGCCTAGAAATGTCCTCTTATGAGAACTTTATGTTTTGGTTCTAGATTTCTTATAAGCAAAATTTATATGGTTAATCACTTCGCTTGATCATAAAGAGAGCACATTTTATTATAGGTTGTTGATTTTTTTTCTTCAATTGTAGCAATTTAGATTGTGGAGAGAAAGATGTTGCTATTGCTAGAGTGGTTGGAGGGAGAAGTTATGATAACTTCGATCTAGATCTCATAGTTTCAACATTTCAGGTTGTTATAGATCTTGATCTACTTAGTGAAGGTACACGGTCCATTATATGGATCCATGTTAACAATCATGGGTTGTTTTATCTAATAAGGGCATTTCGTAGATGTGGGTGAAAGTTTTTCAATTGGGATAACATTTGCTAATAGAGAGCTTATGCTCAATAAGTATGCCTTACGGCTCATAACTCTTAGGCTTAATTATTAGAGAACATTTGGGGTTAGGCTCCAACTCATAATATGATAATGTCAATACAGTCAAGTTAATCACAAAATCAAGTAGGCACATGTCACTTCCTTATCAACGTGAGTTTTTTTGCCGATACACTTTATATGAATCAACTCTTTGAGAATTTTAAGCATACTTAAATTTATCATCCTTAACAAATAAGTGCGAAGGATGGATGGATAGATGGATCTTATATATATATATATAGAGAGAGAGAGAGAGAGAGAGATAGATAGAATTTCATCTTTTTTATGATTTTACTTTAGTTGTACTCAACATTATGAATGGAGTCCAAAAGTGCATTTATTTATGAACTTAAGAGGGCATTTTTTTTTAATAGGATCCCCCCTATGATTATGATTTTCTAATAACAGTACCTATTATGGGGGGCAAGCTCGATAAACTTAATTTTAAGAATGAACTTCTTTGATTATGTTATTTTGATAACTGACCCAACACAGGGATTAGAATCTCAAAATGTTCATTATGATTGGAAATTTTCTTTTCAGCTTCTTTTTTTTAAATTCAATCTTTTAATCAATGTTACCAACACTTGAATGCAGAGAGGTATTATGGCTCTAGTTGATGTTGAAGGAGTGCCTGTTCACCTTAGGCAACTAACTCTTGAACATCTCATGGCTAGTCCTGGATCAATACGAGATATCCTTGTGAGACATTACATGCGGCAGTTGCTTCATGAGATCTACAAGGTAAAGTTATTACCCTTCTTCATATGCATGATACTCATACCATGCAAAACAGCCTCAATTCCCTAAATGTAATCACTTAGTTTAATTTTACTGCTTTTTTTAGCCGGTTTTTTTACTGCTTCTTAAAACAGCTTCCTAACATAAAAATTAATTTTTTTGTGCTAGGAAGCTGCTTTAAGAAGCAATAAGAAACCAGTCCCAAACAAAACCATAATAATATAATATGCTACAAGCAATCATCTTTTTTCTATTGCATTATCGTAGCTATTGTGATGTAGTCATATTGAAGGTGTCAGTATTTTCTATTTCTCATTTACTTATGTGGCAATTTGTCCTTACTTGCAGCTATTTGGTTCTGCGGGTGTAATAGGAAATCCTATTGGCTTTGCAAGGAACGTTAGGCTTGGTATAAGGGACTTTCTATCGATTTCCAGCAGAGGTATTTTACAGGTGTGCGACTGTTCTTACATAATTGATTTTTTTCAGATGATTGATCGGTTTTAAATTTGTGACCTAATAAGGGCTGTTTGCAGAGCCCTAGTGGACTGTTGACTGGTGTAAAAGAAGGTTCAAAAAGTCTTTTTAGCAATACAATCTATGCCCTAAGTAGCACTGCTAGTCAGTTTACTAAAGCTGCTCATAAGGTACTTTCATTGTTTTTCATGCCATTATTTTTTGAACTTTGTATTTAGTCATGTTTTGGTTTGTTTTCCAGGGCATAGTTGCTTTTACTTTTGATGACCAAATAGTTGATGAAATGGATAAACAGCTACAAAGTATTGATGTGCATGGTAAAGGAGTACTAAATGAGTTTTTGGAGGTATGTATTATGAAGTGCTTTGAATCCTACATACACTTAACACATGATGCAGAACTACATATGTGAGGTTTAATTCATTTGGATTTGCACAACTTATGATTAGAATAATTCAAGAATAAAGCTACGGGAAAATTTGAACAACGAAATAAAACAATCAGTGGTTGTCCGATTAGGCTTAAATCACATGATGAGAGCTTTGAAGCTTCCAAAATAAATAAGAAAAATAACACAACAAACAGTAGTAGTCTTCAAAATAATCTTTAGTCTAACAATGAGAATTAGGATGCATCGAGGTGCGCTCAATTCCTACGATTACTAAGCTTAAGCAAGAGCAAGGCGGAAGAGTCTGTCATGACTGCAATCAAACCAAGGAGAGTTTAGACTAAAAGGAATAAGATGCAAGGGAAAAGAGAAACCTTCATTAGGGAGAGGTGGAGATCCTCCACTCGATGCCTTTGAAGTGTTCGTCGTTAGCCTCTACCAAATAGATCAACGTGCGCTCCAAATAATCCTTGACGGTGAGATCAACTCTTGGATTCACGTCGAAGAAAGTAGATTGTAGGATGTCTACGAAGCCGTCTTCGTCCCATGTTATGGCGTAATCAGTTTCCAGATCCGCCATTCATGGGTACCGGATGATCAATCTCCTTCTCCTTGATATGCCTTGCAAATGGTGTCAAGAGAAAGAAGTTTCTCTTGCAAGTGGAGAAAAGAAAATACACTCCAAGGCTCTTGACCAAAGTCTGAAAAATAACTTCAGATTTTGATCCCAAAATCTGAGAAAATTTCAGATTTTTCTTGAAGAGGAGGGTGGGAATTGGAGGCAGGAAACTAAGTTGATACTCTTGAAGCAGTTAAGCGGGAGAGATGATAGGGTGGGTTGAGGAATTTTTATTTTCCAAATCAGTGACTTGATTTGGAAAATATAATTGGAAATACGGCTCTGGGAAATTCGGCTAGAGAGTTAGGAGTTTGGAAATATTTCCAAATGTGGGAATTGGAAATAGGAAAGAAATTTCCAATCCCAAATTCAAGGGAGAGGGAGGGCGGTGGTATGGGTGTTCATGGGAGCAATTAATGAGAGGATTTAAGGCTTCTAAATTTGATTTTAGGAATTAGGAAAGTAATGAAATAAATTCAATTTGAATTTTAGATTTAAATGAGAAACTTTCCTAAAATAGAATCACTAATTTAGGAAAGAATTTGAACTTGAATAATTTCAAATTCAAATCAATCCGGTAGTTTGTGGGGGGAGAAGGTGGGAGTATGGTCGGCAATGGGGAAGAGGAAGAGGAAAGGTTAGGGAACAAAGACCACGAACCCGGCCTTCTCCAAGGTTGGTGAGTAATGCACAAATCTCCCTCTCCTAGGGATCTCTCTCCATTAGAACTCACAAGTTCTCACACAACTCATGCAAGAGGAAAATTTCTAATCAATCATTCATTAATCAAAATAGAACAAAGGGGGGCTTTAAATAGCCTCATACAAAGGACTCAAAGAAAAAGACACAAATGCCCCTTTGGGCTTACATACGACATCCCTTCATAAGAGAGTACAACGGGAAAATAAGATGACACCTAAGCAAATAAGAAAATACATGAATAAATAAATAACACAAATGACTCAGAAATATAAAGACTCGATCGTGGGTCGTAGATCGGCGGCCACGTCTCTGATAAACCTTCCACGATCTGTGTCCCCATGAACACATCATCTAAACATGCATTGTCAATAAATTTGACAATTAAAAGGTATCCAAGAAGTCAAATATTATATGGGAAAAGGATCAAAATGGTCCATTGTTTCTTTATGAAGGATCAAAATTGTCCTCGACTATATTACATGATCATTTTGGTCCATCAAGTCAATAAAAATGAATCAAAATAATCTCATGGTGGGGCTATTTTAGTTTTTCTTTAAAGAGTTGAGGGACCAAAATGGTCCTTTAATATAGTTGTGGACTATTTTGATCTTTCATAAAATATCAATGGACCATTTTGATCCTTTTCTTAGTATATTGTTGATAGTTTACGTTGAATAATGCACTTGACTAAAGCTTGCTATTAGAAGATATCTCAACCATGCCTTTTCATTCCTAAGTGGATATTAGATGTTTTAGAAAGTATAATGCTACTCCCAAGCATTTCATTTCCAAAGATTTCATAGTATCCTGATTTCTGTCGTTGATTGTTGTGGGATAATTCTGAAATGATGCTTACAAAACAAAGGGAACTAGTAAACTTTATGCAAACTTATTCTTTTCATATCTATAATTATACTTCTTTTATTTAGTTGTTCTTTGTTTGCAATTTTAATTACACTTGAAAGCTAATCTTCCACCACTTTTGTGGTTAAGCAGATGTTGCGTTGTGCATTCAAACTGGCCATATTAGCCTTTAGAAAATTCTTTGCTGTAGGATTCCTGCACTATTTTTCCCTTTCCATTTTATATATTCTGGATCTATAGCTTATGTATCCGCAACCATCCATCTTTGTCTGAATTGTTTTCATTCAGTTTTGTTATTCTGCGTTTTCTTTTTTTGTTCCTGCCTAAAGCTTAAGCATGTAGCATCACTCACTACTACTTGATTAATTGAAAATCATGCAATTAATCTATGATTAAATAATTGCTTCAAAGAAAAATAACTGTTTCATAATTCTCTCTCAAGAAAAATAATGCATTTTTTCCATCATAACTTCCATACAAATATATGAAATTGTTCAGTGGCCTTTTGGCACTAAAATGAATTGCTATATCACAACTTACAAAAGCTCATTTGTTCATTACTTTTAAATCTTACCACCTTACAGGGCCTCACTGGACTACTTCAGTCTCCAATCAGAGGTGCTGAGAGGCATGGCCTTCCTGGTGTTCTCTCAGGTAATCATAAATTTAACCTCATCATTTAAAATATTAATATCATCATTCTTATAGATTTACCTCTTAGGCATTGCGATGGGGACTGCGGGGCTTGTGGCGAGACCGATAGCCAGCATTCTCGAAGCAACGACAAAAACCGCACAAAGCATCAGAAATAGAAGTAGCCCTCACCCATCCAACAGGTGTCGCATCCGTCTTCCTCGGCCTTTGGCTAGGGAGCTTCCCCTGTCACCCTACTCCTGGGAAGAAGCGATTGGTGCCTCCATGATTCAACAAGCAGACATGGGCAGGCTTAAGGACGAGGTATATGTGACATGCAAAGCACTAAGAAAGGCTGGTAGATTCATACTTATCGGTGAGAAGCTGGTAGTGATCTTCTCGAGCTCCTGCTTGGTGGATTTTGGCTTGATAACTTTTGCAGGTGTTCCTGCTAATCCAACATGGGTTATAGAAATGGAGATGAGTTTGGAAAGTGTTGTTCATGTAGATAGAGCAGATAATGATTTGAATATTGTTGGAGACAATGCTGGTCTTCCATCTTGGCACAAGAAAGGTTTCAGATCTAGGAGTGCAACTTCTGCACCCTTTGTCTCCATAAGTGTGGAGTTACCTAACGCAGAAGAAGCTGAAGATGCTTTGCAGGTCTTGCTATCTACTATTGAACTGGGGAAGGAGAAAAGAGGGGGTGTTAAAGTATTGCATCGAATTAATCTTAGCTAAGATTATGTAAATTATAGTGTTCCATTATTTTGTCTTGCACATTAGAGGCTTAGTGCATGGGGTATGTACATATTTGTAGGCTGTGCTGTAAATAGCAAATGTACAGTTGCAGGACATTTTGTAACCAGATAATATTGCTGAAATTTTCTCCTGGATATGCTTTACAAGTAGCGTTTAGGCAAATGCAAAGTGGATTACAGAGCCCAATTTGCAACAAAGAGTCCCAAGCATTGCTTGGCATAGGAACAAGATTAGCCTTGCATGGAATGTTTGCTATACAAATCCTCTGAACTGAAATGATGAAGTGATGTCTAACATGGTACTCCCCTGATTTTGTTGATATTGTGCAAAATGTTTCAGCATTTTAAGATTCGTTTGGGATGGCTTTTTTAATGCTTCATAAAGCAGTGTTTAATACAAAATTTTTAATTTGTAAACTTAAAAACTGTTTTTAAAAGCAGTAAAAAAGCCGTCCCCAAATGAAGCCTTAATTGCTATGGAAATCATTTACCAACCTTTATGTAAATACACTAGTCTTCTACATTAAGACTAAATCCAGTAGTACAATTCTATTTTTGTCAATGAATGAATTGAGATTGGTTGCAAAGTCAGATATGAAGGATAATAGACTACGAAAGTGTGAAATTTGGCTTTAGATACCTCAAATTAGGCTTGAGTTCTTGTTGTTTTATGATCTAAAGATATATATCCGAGATTTATTCAGATTAAAATTCATTTCTGATACATTTATCTGCTTATAGTTGTCAGTTGAGCCAACTTGTAAATTAGTTTGGGCTTGACTCATAAATGACTTATGACCTGAATTCAATTAGCAAATGAGTTAAATTTAAATCAACTCTGATGTAAAAATTAAAAAACATGATTAAAATTTTTATCTATAATTTTATTTTAAGTGATTTATTTTTTATCTCATTTTTTTCATTATACTATTTATTTTCATTATAATAATTTTTTCTTTATAATACATGAGTTGGCTCATTAGTTAGTTCAAACTCATAGAATGAAACTCAGGTTGAGTTTGAATTAGCTTGGTGCTCATTTACACCTCTAAATTATTTAGGGGCTATTTGGTAGCACCTAAGATTTGATTTAAATAGAATTTCATAAATATGCAAAATCCAGATTTTGGAAATCTTGAAGTGTCTAAATCCTAAAAAATATTTGGTATTCATGATAAATTTTATTAAATATCATGTAACTTTGGCTATAGAATGAATTTTATAAGCGGAATTTTATAAGTACGGCAAAAAATAAGATTTCGGAAATCCAGGATTTAGAACAAAAAGATGAAATCTTTTGTCTACGGCGGGCTTTCATTTTCCGTGAGATTTGATTTTGCATTTTATGCCATTTGGTTGGATTTTGCTCAAATGCACCGCAAATCCGGCTTAAATTCTGCTACCAAACAGCCCCTTATTAGTGCAAATGATATTTTACCTTCAACAAGTTAATGTTCTTCATTGTCAATTTCATTATTCTTTAGTTTGAGGTATTTCATTCAACTGATAAGATGATTGTAACACTTCCATAGAAAAAATAAGTTCAACAGACTTACGCATACATAGGCATATTAATTTTTATATTTGAAAAATCGGGTATTACACGATTGGGTCCTCTGGTGCTATACGCCTGAAAACAGCATAAAAAGTCTGGCCCCCATTTCTCGCAACCTTTTGACCTTCCTCTGTAGCAGAAGCCAATAACTTCACAACCGGATCTGCTTCGAATTCTTCTTCCAGAATTGCAGAGAAAAGAGGATGGCTATCCAAGCACAACTTCATCCAATCTCCAAGCTCTTCCACATCAGTTATCGTATAAATGATGCCTCCAACTTCCATTACATAGGCGTATTCATCAAGTAGCTGAAGACTAATCACCCTACGCCGATGATTCTTCTCCTTGAAATGAGGATCAGGAAATAGAAAGAATATCTTCGATAACTGGCCCTTGCAGAAGTAATTAGGCAGGTACTTCATTGAGTTTGTTCGAACAACAGAGATGTTCTCATACTGGCCAGGATTTGACGCTCTGAGAGCTAAGATTCGCTCTTTAACATACTCTGACACCTGCATTCAGGAATGATCAAAATAGTGAAATGATTCCATACATCTTTCAACATCACACTTATACATTCATACATTTTTCATCATCATTCGGAGGCGAATCAGAGCGTGTCATATCACCCAGTACATAGCCGTTGTACACGGAAAATGAGTGACATGACGCACTTTGATTTGCCTCCGGACAATATCTGTTGTCCGCACAGAATAATTTTTCTCATTATACATGTTTGATTAGGCTTGTCAATGGTTTTGATCGAATATATATTGATCTGGATTTGATCCAAACAACTATGTATCAGAGTAATTTTTGGATTGGATGGTTGACTGTGATCTGTTTCATGATCAATATTGGGTCCGCTAATCATCAAATCAGATTTTATTAACTCTAAGCCCTTTTATAACAAGAAGAAGGTGAACATGTTATTGGAGATTGTCATAAATTTTTTTAAAAGAGATTGAGGTCGTAATAATCTTGATGCTAATGGTCTTTTGAGTTAACATAATTATCATGATCTTATAAAAAAATTAACCTAAAGATTGATAAAATGATAATTCAATCACATGCATATAAATACAAAATAAGCATAATCTAGCTACTATGTAAATATGAAATAAAAAATATTAAGAAAATTCTCCAAGAAAATTCACAATTACTAATAAGAAGTGAGAAGAAAATTTTCATAGCTGAAAGATCGATAGATGAGCAAATGAGCTCTGAAAGGCAATATAACTATCCAAAGCATAAGATATAGGAAGGGAAGGTAACTTTCTTTCCAACCTGTCAATGTAGCTTCATATATATATATGAGATAAATCAGATGCAAAAATGCTGACGTAGGTTAGGTATTTACAGTAATATACACTTTGAAGGCATTAAGATTAGCTATTTTCCGATATATATATATATATATGATCGACCAACTATTCTTATATGGATAATCTAGTCCCAGTGTGTCATATTTCTCCAATTTATGTTTCGTTTGGGATGGCTTTCTTGCTACTTTCAAAAGCAAATTTTTAGTATAAAATTTTTTTGAACTAAAAAATTTTATGCTAGAATGCTGTTTTTAAAAACAGCAAAAAAAGTCATCAAACGAAGCCTTAATCTCTAGATTATACAAAATTGATTCAAAATATTCCATGAGAAATTAAATTGGGATCAATTTTGACTAATTGAAGGACTAAATTAGAAATAATTTTGTATCATAATTCCTAAATGAGGGATCATTTTGAATCAATTTTGTATAAACGATCATCTAAATTGGAGAATTGTAACATTTTGAGGCTAAATTGGTCATTGTGAATAGTCATTCAGCTATTTTTGAATTTAATGTTATATGTGTATATAAGAAAGCATTTTCAACTTAGATAAGCTTGAATGAAATCCAAGACTATAATTGGGCAGGGTTTTTGATCTTTTATCATTTTGACCAAATCAGCATTCAGATCATATAGCAGCACAACCTAGCGCATTGATAGGCCTATGTTCAACCACCAAAGCTTGATTTCTATTACCTTATTTTTAATAGATATCTCCCCAAATCTCTTTAAAATAAATTTTTATTCTTCTTATTTTTCCAACATATATATCTAAAAATTTTCATTTTGATCAAGCTCAAATGAAAAATAATGACGAGAACAAAAGAAGATAACAAAAAACCACCACATGAAGCTAGTAAAAACACCAGTAGAGTCCACTCACCTTGTCTCTGAGCTCCATTCCGATCATCAGAGTGTCCGGGAAAAGAGGAGAAAGTTTAACAAGCAATCCTCCAAATCCACATCCAATGTCAGCAAAACTAATTTTGGGAAGCAAGTCATCTTCGTCGGGATCATTCTTGCTGGAATGCAAAAAATGAGGATAATGCGAGGAATAATCTACATCAGCAGGGCTAATTGGTATGGGGAAGTGAGAATCACTGAGGGGGTTGCTATGAGCACGCGCCCTGTAGAAGCGTTTCCTAGGAAGGTGAGCTGATTGCCTTTTTCCTTGAGTTGCTTTGCCGTCGTTCTTCGACATTGGATATTTGTAAGAGCTTAATTATCTACAGCAGATCATAAATTATAACACAGCATAAGCAAAAAATAGTCAACAACATAGGCCTAAAGAAAATAACATCTAGTTCCTCATAACCAAACCAAGAATAGAAAGCTCTACAGCTATTTTTAAGCCTTTACACCATAACCAAACCAAGAATAGAAGGCTCCTCATCATCACCGTTAGCCTAATACTGTTATACCAATCTATTTGAATAGAAAAAATAATGAAAGCTAAATGACCAAAATACTATCACTTATAGGTTCTTCAATACTTCAAATATACAGGAACTAAATGTAGTTTATCTTAGATTTCAGTTTTAGATGAGAGATGAGTACAAATACAGTTCGCTCAACACATCGCATATGCAGATTTTTTTAAAATATTTTGCTAAAAGTACTATCTGGAAGTAAAGATATAAACTTTGGACAAAGACAAGAAAGAAGGTTTAGAGTAATATAAGGTATTATTTATGAAACAGAACAGTTAAACAATTAAAAATGTCATAAGCAAAAGAAATTTAACTTCTGTATGGTGTGGAGCTGTCTAATGCTGAGTTTAAGTCAAGAACCAAAACCGTCATGAAGATGCGAATTTTTCAAATGGGTTTCCAAAGGTTTGTCGCACAAGTTCACAAAAGAAATTTGCTTGCTAAAATGTATGGAGATGGCAATAGACTATCGACTCAGTATAACTGCATGAACTGCAATGATACTCATGGAGATAAACCTAGCAGAGTCAATATTCCAATTTGCTGATCTAAAGGACTTTCAACTCATGGTAAAGGAAATTAGGTGCTAAATTCTTTCATAAATCATAAAGTGTAGTGAAGCTTTTCTTTTACCCTTTTTCTCTCCATGAACTCTAGGATGTAGGATTTACATAAGACAAGACGTGAATTTGTTTTGAGAGGTTGAACAATATAGATTAACATCAAACAAAGACCCAGCTACTAACGGCAAAAATACAAAGTTAATCTCACGGTAAAAGTCAAATCTCTACTTCACAGCATTTTCGTCATTTTTGCCCTAAATTCCGATTTCGTAAATCCGACTTTTTTAGCGGATTTCGTAAATCCGAACCGAAAAAGCGCGCCAAAGGGAAGAAATATGGTTACCTTCGCGGCTAGCTCCTCGCGCGACTTCCGATCCGACAGGAACAACTTCGGAGGAGGAGGCGGAGAAGTTTCGACTCTTTCAGAACTCTACTTCACGCGAAGCAGAACAACAACGAATAAATGCAGAAGAGGAAAAGCAAACCCTAGATAGGCAATGGCAAGCGACTCGTTCGAAGCTTTACCCCACATGAACCAGCGAAGCCGAAGAGGGAAGCTCTACCTCACGCACGAACGACAACGAAGAAACCGAAGAGGGACAGCCAGCCCGACCTGCTCTCCAGCGGCGCCGTCATCGTCGCTGTTTGCAGAGATGGGGCCGGTCCGTGAACGGCGCCAGAGGGCCGCTGCGCTCGATTTTAACCCTAAAAAAGGGAACGGTTCAAGAGCGAACCGGTCTGCCCGGTTCTGGCAGTTTTTCATTTTTTATTTTTTTTAATAAGAAATTTTCGATAAATTTGATACTATATATTCTACATATTATTTTGTGAAATAATAATTCTTTTAATGTTTCAATTAGTCTTTATTTTTTATCTTGAAATACTTTTTTTTCGTTAATCTCTTTTTTTCTTGTAAATAAATTATTTAGATATAATATATTTTGTATAAATCTATGTACAATTCTATAAATCTATAAATTTAAATGTAAACACAAGGTTGAAAATAAGACCGGATAACAAACCAAAATTTAAATGGTCCAAAGTTTAGTCATAAACTAAAGGAAATATTTATGGTCCATAGTGATAAATATTAAAATTATTTAATTTTTAATTAAATGGCATGATAATAATTGAAGTGTCTGAAAAACATGAAAGAGAATTATTTTATTTAATTTTAAATTTAAATATTTACATTTAAGTTACTGAAACATAAATTGCAAATCTTCATCTATTATTGAAAATTTTCTAATAAACATAAATTTAAAACAAATAATAAATTCAAACAATTTAAAAATCTAATTAAAATAAATTTGACACTAGCACCAAAATTCTTTGCTCTAATGATGAATATTTCACCTCTTACCTCGCTCAAATCCTGGCAACTGATGATATTATGTATCAGTACAATATATAGCACTTATACTCCTGAGCAAAACTACATTGTTGAGCAAAGGATTTGCAACATAAGTGAAACCATTAAAACTCTCATACTTAAAGCCAAAATATTATACAATCTCTATGATGGCAATACTTATAACAGTCTACCTGATTAACTATTTACCACAAAAATTACAAGCCGCACATTCCTCTATCAACTTCTCTTAAAAATGACCCTTCCCTAACATGTTCTCAACTTAAAGCTTTGGTTATATTTGTTTTTCATCATTTGACCGCACTCACCTCATATGATCAACGCAAGATTCGCTCACATCTTTCTCGACTATTTCTTCCTCTTACAAATGATGTAAATGTTACAATCCAATAACTACGAAACCTATCATTTCTTAGCATTTTATATTTGACAAACATATATGTCCCGATCACCACACAAAAATAACTACTACCAAACCTTCTAGCACTACTTCTAGCATCCCTCCATTTACTCTAACTCCAACTAACACTTTGCCACAACCAACAATCAATCCCTCAATTCACTCATTAGCCCTCCAATCACCCAACAATTTCTCTTCAATACGTCCTACTCAATCACATCCATGCTCACAACACCAATCTTCACTATAACAAACCATTCCCCCGTCTCGTCTACAACCTTAGCACCCCCTTAGTTCCCTTTCTTACAACAACACACATCACTCGCTACCAACAACAATCCTATGTAGATATGCTTCAAGACCGACACTCTACATCCCAAATCAATACTTAACTATTAAAACATCATCTTTATGTAGACTCCAAGGTTGACCTCTGTAATTCAAGTTTACCTTCAACTTTCTCTCTAGTCTTATCAACAACAAATATTATCAGCAAGAAGCATACACCAGGAACAACCTTTGCAAACGTCTAGTGAGAACATCCATGACTAAAGCAAAAAAGATGTGAGCTTATAAATACCCCACCCATTTACCTATAAATAACCAACAAACTTGGAGCACTCTAATTTCATTAAGTGTAGAAAAACTAAGCTCAATAATTCGTTCCTTCATAAAAATTCAATATCATGCAAATGCCACATGGCAATTGATATAATTTACACTTCATTTGAGATAGTGTTTTTTATTATTATTTTTTTTTAGTATTTTCAAAAAAAAATTATGTTAAAAAACTAATGTAAAAAATAGTATATAAAAAAAAATTTCCACGCATTAGCAATCTTGACTTCTCCACTATTTTTTTTCAGCAAATAGTGGTGCTCTCAAATTCACGAATTATTAAAAAGATAATATGCAGCTCATTTTAGCTGAGAAATTTTTACTACGAATTAAGAGGTCTTAAATTTAAATCTTATTGATATATGTGTAAATTTATCTTAATTAATCTAAATGTGAAAAAATTGTTTTTTATTCGGACTCATATTTTGCAACTTTTGTCACTTCTCTTTGATGGGAATTTTTATTAGTTCCGAACACCTAACGTAGCTCTACATCCGGACGTCAATAAAATGTCGCCACGTACTCTTACTCTTTACTGCAAGGCCCGACGACCCGACCTAGACCGGAACCCGATATTGCTATGTATTAGTTGATTTGTACATACCAGAGTATTGCTAGGTTTTGCTCGGTAACGAGAAATATCATTATGTCATGACCAATACCTAGCAATAACAAGCAATACCCCGGTTTTGCTAGGTATTGCTCGGTATTGGTCTTGAAAGAGTGGTATTTCTCATTATTGTCAAGCAATACCTAGCAATACCCGAACATAGCAATACCGGATTTCCGTTCCGGGTCGGATCATCGGGCTGCGTGGTAAAGAGTAAGAGCATGTGACGATATTTATTGGTGCCAGATGTAGAGCTACATCACGTGTCCGGACCTAATAAAAATTCCTTTGATGGGCCTTTGTAAAGGGCCATTAGCTTAATTACGGACTCAGGCTTAGCTTTGTTTCAAACGAATTCATAATTGATTATTATTTTTAAATATTTAATTTAGATTTTTTTTATTGAAATATATTGCATAATCCACAATTAATTTGCACTGTGGGTCCCTCCTGCGGCTGAAAATGTTATTCCCTGATCTGCTATCATGTGCACAAATTTTGCTGTGTGGTCCGGTTTACTCTTACGGACCCATTCAAGCCAGACCGGACTGACTCAATTAAATCCTCCAACTCTCCAAGGCGGTCCGTGGGGTCCGGCTCATTTGTCCTCGTGGTTCCCAATGAGGACGAAGACGACGACTGTCAACACAGGTTTCGGACTGTTGCGTCCTGGAGTATTCGCGGCGGTAGAGAAATATTTAGTTTAACGTCTTAGCGTTATACGAAAATCCGGCACGCAATCAGATAAGAAGAGATGGTCTAGCATTTATGAGACACCAAGATTTTTACGTGGAAAACCCCTGTAAAAGGGGGAAAAACCACGGGGCCTAGCCCAGTTTGAACGAATCCACTAGTATTTGCAGTCGATTACAAATGAGGCCCTTCCTTGAGAGAAGGCCTTAGCTTGATGTACATCTTATGGAGCACATTACATGATGTAAATACAAAGAGCTATTATCGACGTATTCGCTTTGTTTGAAGGACTGTAGTCGGCGCGCGACGTAGGTCAGGAGGACCGTAGTCAACTGGCGGCGAAGGACTGTAGTCGGCGGGCGACGTAAGTCAGAAGGACCGTAATCGGCGG